TCGAACCAGTTCTCGACCAAAGTGTACATGGAAAAAATGTCTTGATTGTTGAAGAAATTTAGGTTCTCAACCTGAGAACCTTTTCATGCTGACACCTGTATGATCAGTCACACATCTCTCAGGTGATAAACAGAGGAGATTCATTTTTTTAACAAATCTCTTCTCAAACAGCCTTCTGAACAAATTAAATTCGAGAACTGAGGTTCTACTGTACATTTTAAATTTTTGAATGTATCTGAACTTCATTAAAGCACATCTTGCTTTGCAAAGATCCAGACACAAACAAGGAAAATTGTGTCTCTTAAAATTGTCTTCAGCCAAAGAGAACAGCAGAACCCACTTTTCTTCCCCACTTGCATCCCCTGCAAAGGAGTTTTGTATGGAACTGCAACCAAGACAAAGGAAGTGGATGTTAGTCTAGAGCAGTGATTTTCAACTTTTTCCATCTTACAACACGTATAACCTAATTACTAAAAATTCTGCGGCCCACCAAAAAATATAAGTTGGGTAGGAGAATTACCATTTATGAGAGCTTGATGTGAAGACACTGTGCTAGACTAGATCTCAGAGGACCTGTATGGACAGTTTTGAAAAAAGGCATACATTTCTGGGCACCTGTGGGGCACCTATCTAAAAGTGGCACTGGGACATAACTTGGATGGATGAACTGGGCCTAAGGCATCAGTGAACTCAGGTCTGCACCCAGCATCTTCATAACTGCTGGGAGAATTGGGCCTCTTCTCCAACACTGCTCCAGACAACTGAACAGTGACTTCAAGAGCAAATCTTCAAGGGATGTTAATTAGAAGAGGCATGATACAGTACACGAGGGTTTGGTACTACATGAAATTCTATGTGGGCCTTGCATTTATTCGGCAGAAGGGGCAGTGTCATGGGCCAAGTTGTTGAACATCTCACGGCCTCAGTATGCTGGTCTGTGCAATAGTCTTACCACGCAGGAGTGTTATGGGATTCAGTGAGCTCTCAGGCAGATGGCAACAGTTAAGTAGCAGATCTGTAGCTAAAAATGATCTCAGAACACCCAGCACTAAGTGCCCCTTTAATTTCACAGCCAGGTGAGAGAAAGGGGTGAGAGGGACCTGCTTGCCACATTGGGCCCCCACCTCCAGTCACCCCTGCAGGATACCAGGGTAATGCTGAAGTTTTACACAGGTAAAGAAACCCTAAGCATGTGCAGGTACAGAAAAGTATTATTTAATATTTTAGTGCTCCTAACTTTTGGTACCCAGGGCAAAGCTGAGACAAGATTCTGACTGGCTTCATATCAGCTCAAAACTTATTTTCTCACTAACCTCTCAACGGGGGACTGCATACTGTTTGGATGTACTGGGAGATGGTATGGTTCAAAAATTTTGCACATATATATATATAAATATTTGACCTCAATTCCTGTAAATGCAAGGCCCACATAGAATTTAATATTGCATGTATTTGTAGACATGTATGTAAAGAGAAAATGTGGGAGGGTTTCCTCCACTGGAATTTATTGTGAAAGCACATAAGAGGATGATAACTTTACTCCCCTATTTTCAAATACCACCGCCAGCTTGAGAAATTATTTGTACTGAGACACCAACAGGACCAACATAACCAGTTATAATAGTGGCCAAAAATCAATGCATGACTATAAAATACTGAGTCATCTAAAGGTACAAAAATGGCACTTGTTTTGTACATTATTATTTGCCAATAGTTTATTGTATTAAGTAATACTTAATACAATAAAAAACAGTTATATTTATATTAATCATCACCCTTCCCTAAACACTAGTTGCCATCAAAGGAGACCTAAGAAAACATTGATTCTTCCCCATATGAATGATGCTCTAACAAAACAAAAGAGAAACATTCTCATAGTTGCATTCAAATTATTGGATCATAAGTATTTCCATTATTTAGTGACAAATATTAACTACCTCTTAGGGCTAGAGTTAATTTTCCCACTAATGTTTCCAATTTCATGCACAAAAATAAATATTACATTTTTAGTCATAAAGGAACATCAATTTTTCCTCAAAGGTACTATTTACTGTATGTAGTTATTAAAATTTATAATTTTAAAGTCAATGAAATTGGAAATATTGATTAGTTTTGTTGCTATGCTTGCTACTTAAGTTTTACATGTACTAGTATTTTCTCCCTTCTAGTACATTCTCAGTGTGATCACATGTTTATAGTTATCGACCAAGCAAGACATAAGGACTGGCATTCAGGAAACTATATTTTCTTTTTCTTTTTTCTTTTTTTTTGGACTCTGATACTCTGACTTTGGCCAAGGTACTCCTCTACTAAATGAAGTACTCTGCTACTTAGGGCAAGCCATGCTCTTGGGGGTAACCGTGGCCTAATGAAAGCAGAACACTGGGTAATAAATTACTTAATGTATGTGTTCAACATACCTTATTTCCATGTTTTGGTAACAGATTTACCTTCTCAATTATGTTTTGATAACACTGGTATCAAAAGCATCCATTATGAAGCACAGTCTGGCTGACTAGTAGGAGATGTTACAGGGACAAAAAATGACTGAAAATTAGAAAGAGATAAATCAATATGAAAATAATTGAGCTGTCTGCTGTGAAATTAGTGGTGCAATATTAAAGTGCTTTGCTCATCCCAGGGGAAAACTGATAGAAACTGGACATGTCAGTCCTGTAAACCAGGATGAACCACAGCTCAAGTCAGATTATTACCACTGGGATGGAAAAGAGTGAACTAAGAAATAAAAATACATTTAATTTCACCTGTTTTTGAACAGGTGAATATCTCTTCACTTGGAACTAATGTTTTAAAAAAGAAAGTGTCTACTTCACTGAGCATCACTGACTAGACTTTCAGAGTCTTCAAAACGACCATGTGTTCATGGTGCTGTGTGGTTCAGCTCCTCTGATTTCCACCTTTAGAAGTCTGTGGCCTGAGCCCAACAGGGAAGCAGAGACACACGCACGTCACGTTCTCCACCCACAGGCACAGTTTACACACAGTCAAACATGTAACTGTGAAGGGGCAAGTATATCCTGGAGGATAGAAAAAGTCTTGCAAGGCATGTTTTTAGAAAGGGTGGGGAACTCGCCACCCTACTTTGACCAGACAGGCAGGGCTTTGTGTAGGAGGGTGGGGCTGTTAGAAACTGTCTAAATGGTGGCACAGAGCAGCTTAACTGGCTGGTGGTCAGAGCAATTCCGAATGCATGGCTTGGCTTAGGAGCCAGAGTGAGAATAATGATTTCTGCAGACAGTCAGGGTGGGTGAGGTTACTCTGAGAAGCCCAGGGAAACGGAGGTGCAGGGCATGCTCTGACCCTGCAGTGTTAGCTCTGGAGAAATGCAAGCTCACAGTCAGCCCCTATTCTACCAGGGATTGGTCAGTGTCCATTTGTGTGTTTGAGCGATTCCCTTCTCATTTATAAGTTGTATGTGATACTATATTCTCTGCTGTCTACAGGAAATTGTTTCATCATCTCAAAGGAGATTCTGTAGATGAAAGAGCTCTTATTCTCAGGGTGCTAGAGTTAGGATGCTCAGGGCTGCAACACAGTAAGGAAGAGACAAACAATAAGGGCCGGAGGCCCTCATCGGCCCTTTACTCTTAAAGAGACACCCTGCCATCTCCCCACCTTCCATACATAGCCCTCTAGACTTTTAGTTTTTGATTTAGGGACGCACCAGGTTGTCCTGCGTTTTCAATGACCATTTCCAAACTCCAGGAATGTGCTGGTGGTTTGCTTGGGTCTTATCCAAATGCCACCTCAACCTCTCTGAATAAATACAGGATGGGTGGCAACTGCAGCCTGCCCACTACTCCACCTCACTTCAAGACTGATTTTCCATCTTTTTGCTTTCCAAGGGAATTTTCCCTTTTTTATCCTTTAATTTTTTTAAACTCACTCCAGCTCTGAATTCTTATATCCTTATCTTTGTATATCACTTCAGATATAATTTAAATTTTTTTGTTCATTAGAATGTGTAACAAGAGAGTAAGGAAAAGGAAGAAGGATGCGGGGCATTTTTGACCATAAGAACTGTCCTGGGAAGAAGGTTCCCTCTGGATTAATCAGCCAGACTCTCTTCTTTGGGCTCATAGCTACTCTTACATATAAGGAAATTGAAATTTATGGGGGTTCAACAGCTAGGACATGGTAAAATAATGACAATAACTGTAATGAGGATGATTGCTGGTTATGTGATAGAGTCAAGATTGGAACTTGCCTCTGATGCCAGGCCAGTGATATCCAGCACAAAAGTCATGCAAGCCACATATGCAATTTAAAAATTTTTAGTACTGACGTTATAATAATTAAAAATAAACAGGTGAAATTAAATTGAACACATTTTATTTAATCCAGTGTACTCCAAGTAGCATCATTTCAACATGTGATAAATATAAAATTATTAGTGGGGCATTTAATATTCTTTATTTGCACTATTGGGAACCTGGTGTGTATTTCACAGCACATCTCACTGTGGACCAGCCACATTGCACGTGCCCAGGAATAGCCAGTGGCTAGTGGTTCTCATATTGGACAGTGTGGTGCTTAGACATTCTGAATGTTTTTGTGGGATGCACTTCTCTGGCATCAAAGTCCATGGGCTTCTTCTCAGAATGTGTTTATATAAAATAAGACAAAATATGCAGGATTCTAAAAGAAACCAGTTACTTTGAAATTCAATTATTAAATTAGTCTAAAATCTACTTAAGTGTGGAATTGTATGTATCCATTTCTTTGATAACACATTAACTAGCATACTGCAGGGCAAGCCTAATAGTTATTATAATTTTAAAATAAAATAATGAACATAAACACTTTTTAAATCTACCTAAAGCCACTGTAATATTATGAAAATATCTGTGATTTCAATTGATAGCAAAGTCACAGTACTGCTAATACTATGCTTGTTGCCTGTATTTGCAATTGCAGAAACTACTAAATTTTGGTTTGGAGGTTAATAAAAAGTAAAATGTAATTTTTTCCCATTTCAGCCTATGGATGCCCTCAGTCCCACCCAGGGACCTGCTTGAGAGCATGGGCTCTAATCACTCACCTCTACTGCTCCCAAATGCCACTCCTCTAGGAGAGTTCACTTTCAGGTAATTCTTGACAATGGTCATGATTGCTGCACAGTTGAGAAACTTCTCATGCTTTTCTCCCAGTTCCCTTAGTTCTACTTCTTTCTCTCCTCTCTTTTATCATTGTGACTTGCTCTTTTTGTCATCACCTCTAGTCTTTAGTATCTTGCTCATGAAATACTCATGATACTAAAAGAATGGAGCCATTCAATAAATGAAAATAACATGTATCACAGCACTTTTCCTAGAAACTATAGGTAGAATACTTACCAAAAAATATAAAGCATCAGCTAATTACAGACCTCATGGTGTCAAGTATATGCAATATAACTCACATTTGCCTGTGTTTGAGAATATGACATATAGAATGTCATCCCCACAAGTTAAATAAGTTACCCCCAAACTTACATGTATTGATAAGTTGATAAATGATATCCTAACTTTTTGACTATTCAAGTGGAAAAGAGGCATATTATTATACACACTTAGAATAGTACTGTGATATTAACAGCTAATTTTTTTATTTTTTAAAATTTGTATTTAATAAAAATCATATTTTTATTGGAATGTTTAATACGAAAAAATGTTCACTGCAATTTTTAAAAAAAAACCAGGATATAAGAGTGTATTAAGTTTGATTCTAATATTGAAAATACATTTTTCTTTTTTTGATCTTTTTTATTTCTTATTTTTTATTTTTTACAAATAAATTTTTAATTGTATTTTTTTCCATTACCATTACAGAACTTATTTGGTGGGTTAAAACCATCATAATTTTTAAAATAAAATAAGACAGAAAGGAACACATCAGAGTGCATCATATGGCAGCAGGGGCAAGTACAATTTCATGAAATTTCTGTCTCATATATTTAAATGTGTATGGTACATATATATTTATAAGTATACCCACATATATGAATGTTTTGTAGTAATGTAAAATATGTGTATATTTATTGTGAGTCATGGTCAAAAATGTTTAGAAAAAAAGCTTGAAAATCTTATATAATGCTATAGGAATGCAAAATGGGTCAGCTGCCGTGGAAAAGTTTGGTGGGTCCTCAAAGAGTTAAACAGAGAATTACCATATGACTCTACAGTTCTATTTTTGGTGTGTACCCCAAAGAGTTGAAAACAAGGACTCAAAGAACTACACGTACAACCATGTTCACAACAGCTCTAGTCACAATAAGCTGAAAGGTGGAAACATCCCAAATGTCCAGCAATGGATGATTAGATGAACAAATTGTGGTCTAGCCATACAATGGCATATTATTCATTCTTAAGAAAGGAATGAAGTACTGATACATGCTATGTGGCTGGGCCTTGAAAACAGGGTGCCAAGTGGAAGAAGCCAGATACAAAAGGTCATGTATTACATGACCCCATTTATAGGCAATATCCAAACTAGGTAAATCCATAGAAAGAATGCAGATTGGTTGTTTTCAGGGGGCCCAGAGGGGTAATGGGGAGAATCTGCTTAATGGTTAAAGGGTTTCACTGTACATGATAGAAATATTTTGGGACAAGATAGGGTGGTGGTTGTACAACATTGTGATGTACTAAATGCCTCTCTGAACAGTCACTTTAAAATGGTTAACTTTTTGTTATGTGCATTTCACCTCAAGAAATTATTTAAAGACAAATACGTTTTAATGCCTTCCCTCTAGAAGTCTCTTTACTGGGCTGCCCTGCCAAGTGAACTGTGCTGGCTTGTGGTGCTGTCACATCGCCACCTACTGGTGAAGGCATCTCCTGTCCCAACTCAGGACTGAGGATGCCTGCATGCCTGCCAGGAGGCCCACTCTCACATCAGAAGTAGTTCAATGCTAGAGTCAAGCCCATGCCCTTAATTGGGGTGTCAACTGTAGGAGTGTCCAGGTGTTGCACAGTGATAACCTTCATCCTCTCTGAATTTTAGGCAGGGAGAAGAATGGTTCCAGTCCTGGCCCTGAAATACATATGTCTCAAGAAGTCACTGAATCTCTCTGAGATTTATCTGTCTATAAACTGGGACCAACACCTACAGCAGGATTACTGTAAGGGTTAATACAAAATAGCATAAGAAATGCACCAAATATATAGGTAGTTGCTCCCGAATGCTAGTTTAAAGGGCTCGCCTGCTTCAGAATGTCGTTGGAAGAAGAAAAAGACTGTAGGTACCTGGAGCAAAGTGACAGGGATATGGAGATCACAGAGTCGGATGCAATGCAGAAGCTAAGTATTGTACAGAGCTAAGCGGCAAAGCCTTAGGGCACAGTGAGTGCCCATGTCTGAGAGGAATGCAGGAGGAGGAAAGGAAAGACTGGGCAGACAGCCTTCTTATGGCCACAAAAGTTCCCAACTGAGGAGGCACACACACCCAAAAAGTACATGAGACAAAGTATTTGCATATTTTTGAAAATTGGCTCGTATGAAGAAGTCCAACTTCATAATACATTTTGTGAAGATGACATGGAAGAATGGATCTTGATAGGCAGTTAAAATAAACAACCAGAAAAGACAGACACAAAACCACATGCTTTTCAAATTGTGAGGCCAAAGGTGCAAGCATTTCAGAAGGTAAAAGTAAGAACAGGGAGAGAAGAATCATAAAATTAAGTAGTAATTAAATAAGGAGGAAATATGATCAGAGCAAAATGCACTACTCCCATGGCAGAATGTTTGGGATTTGTAGGGAATTATATAAAGTGATGCGATTCAGCATAAGAAAACTCCAGAAAATAAAATCAAAACTTTCTCTCATATACTTCTATGAGTGCTTACAGGATCAGTGGTGAGGTGATGAGTAGAAAAAACCCTGCACGGAAGTGTAGGGAGCCAGACTCTCCCAGTAATCTCAGGGTGAGTGTGTGCTTCACGCCTCCCCTCCCCACTTCCCACCCATCAGGGATGTCTTTGCCCCTTGATGCCATCTGATATAAATTCTTCCATTTCCCTGCCCCGAAATACCAAGCACCACCTTCCCACTCTCTCTGGTTAGGATGGAGGGAATGCCTCTTCAAGCCCTGTCTTGGCCTCTGGGCCTGGGACCACTTGCCATCAGTCTCTTGCACCTGAACCTTTTTCATTCTATGAGATCTTTCTAGTCTTTGTGAAACATACCTGGCATCTAAGAAACAAACATTAAACAAAACAAAAAGTTTCCTTTTAATCCCGCATTTCCTTCCCATTTCCACCTCATCTTCCTGACCTCTCAATTATAGTTAAGTGTCTCAAAGCAGCTGCCTTTACTCCCTCACCTTTTCAGTCCATGTCTATCTCTTGTGGCCACACTCCTGCTAAGGTGACCAACAGCCTCTAGTAAGCCAGCAGGCCCTTAATCTCGAACTTAAATTTGATTTAAGTCAAGTTATTTGATGCAGGTGAACCCATGACTTCCTTCTTGCCTCATATTCCAGGTCTTGCCTGGTTGGCACTGTCTACCTCTCCAGTCTCCTCTGGCCCTCTCTCCTCCCCAATCCTCTGGCCACCTTGCCTTCTTCCATCTCAGGGTGAGCAATGCTGCCTCCTGCTTATGGGAAGTAACTTTGCTCCTGGTTTTGCTTGTTAAAACCTCTGCCACCCAGCGGAGGGCTCCTGCAGTGATAAAACACAGGTGTGGGAGACCTGAAAGGAATCAGAATTCTTTTTTCAAATTTCATCTCTCTTCCCTTACCTTGGCTAAATACTGTTTGTCTTTTTGTCAGTCTGAGCATTACTACCTAGGAGAAGCCTTGCCTGGACATCCCGGTCTAAGTCCAGGCCCATAGTTAAAGTTTCTTATTCCTTCTCCCTACCCTTTTTTTGTAATCTACTGTTTATTTACATTAACTTTCCCCTTTCTTTACTAGTCCTTATCACAACTTGTACTTACGCATTTATTGTGTGATTTTTCCAGTCTGCTTTTCTTTCTCTTCAGACTACCAATTCACACTAAGGCAGATTCCATAGTTGTCATCTCCACTGGTTTACTCTTTGTGTCCCAGGACTTAGGGTGACAGAACAAGCATAGCACATAGTAGGCACTCACTCAGTAATCACTGAAAGAAAATGGTTGGGAGAGCCAACATTCTGCCCGAGGCCAGGGAATCAGAGCACACAGTGACTTTACTCCAGCCAATTCATGCCTTTCATCTTCTCCACCCAGACCTACTTAGAAGTTTTTGGGCGCTCTGATACCTGCTTGAACAAACTCTCATTTTGGCTGAGAGAAGCATGAGGTAAAATAAGCTGGCAGAAAATAGGCTGGTTTTCGCAATGTTTGCTTCCTTATTTCCCAGACAATATCCAACTAGATGGGCTATAGATGGCCTCTTTGCTAGAGGGTACTATAGACCTGAGACCTTCAGAAGCCATGGTGTAGGACGTACAGAATGGGAGGCCTGGGGAAGGTACTCTGAAGACCCAAGAGTCCAGTGGACCTGGCAGGGACAGGTCTCGTAAGTCACTGGGCCAAACCCCTTATTACACAGGTGAAAAGCTCAAGCCCAAGGTCTCCACTGGTGGGAAAACTGGATAAACAGAAGCCCCAGGTGAGTGTCTAACCAGGACTGACTTTTAATATAAAATTTTGACCCCTATTCTTTAAAACAATGCTGAGAAGAGCCTGTTGATTTGAAGGGTGATAGAGGGGACAGAGAAGTCCTTGGTGTACTTAGTCATTTAGGCTGGGAGAAGTCAACTTTACAGAATCAGCAAAACCTAATGGAGCAACACATAATCCTCTGTCCTTATTACAGTCAAGTTTTATTAAAAAGAAAAACATGGCCTGGCTCAGTATTTCAGTCTGTTAGAGCATTGTCCTGTACACCAAAATGTGGTGGTTTCGATTCCTAGTCAGGGCATATACCTAGGTTTAGAGTTTGGTCCTGGCGTGGCTACAAGACCACGGGAGGCACATACGGGAGGCAACCAATCGATGTTTCTCACAGTGATGTTTTTCTCTCTCCCTTCCTCTCATCTTAAAATTAATGAACACATCCTGGGGTGAGGAAGGAAGGAAGGGGGAGAGGGACAGAGGGGAAGAAAGGGAGAAAGAAAGAAAGACACTTTCTTTCTACTATTCCTAATCCCTCTCACTCTCCAATTTATTTCCATTTCCAGTCATTGGGAATGAATGTGCCTTGACCACCAACATCCAAATCCCATGGAACCTTCTTGTCCTCACTTTGCTTGCCTTCTTGGTGACATGTGACACTGTTAGCCAAGTTTTTTTCTTTTTATAATTTATCTATTTTTAGAGAGAGGGAAAGGGAGGGAGAGAGGGAGAAAAACATCAATGTGTCGTTGCCTCCTGAGTGTCCCCTACTGGGGACCTGGCTCACAACCCAGGCATGTGCCCTGACTGGGATTTGAACCGGTGACCCTTTGGTTCGCAGGCCGGCACTCAATGCACTGAGCCACAACAGCCAGGGCACAAGTCTTTTTTGATACATTGACTTCACTGGGTTTCTATGGCATCAGTCTCCTGTTCTTCTTCTCCTCAGTGACCATTTGGTCTCATTGTCCTCAAGACTCATCCTCTGTCCCTTTCTTAAATCTTAGAAGTAACTCAGAATTTGATATTAAGCTCCTTTTATTCTCATATACAAATATTGCCTAGAATATTTCATATAAACCCTTAGCTTTAACTATTGTGTGATATTTCCTGAATTATTTTTTTTACCTCAGTTCTTACTGCTGAGGCCCACATTCATAAGTATCTCTTCACATTTTATTGTCCATCTCCACCTGAAATTCAACACATCACTTCCTTCCCCTACTCCCCGTATTACCAAGCTCTCTTTCTGAAACATTTCTTGCATTTGTCTTCTCATCTTAATCCCATCACCACTGTCTAAACTCAGAGATTTGTAATTCATTGCTTGGATTGTTGCAGCAGCCGTCCTACTGGTCTCATGGCCCTCCCTGATGCTGCCAGATTGTTCAACAGTTCTGTTGCTTTAGGGATAAAGCCCAATCTTTAGTTTCACACTACACCCTTTCCTACTTCTCTAATGTCATGCATCCCTGTGCTTCAGCCCCAGGGAACAGTCTGAAAGTCCCCACAACATTGCACTACCAGTAGTGGTACGCTCTGCCAGGCACATGCTGCTCTTCCTCCCTGCCCCCCGGCTCTCACCCTCACCCATTCCTCTGAGAAGCATTGACTTTCCCAGGAGAAGCAAGATGCTCCTCATTTGGATTCCAGGAGCACTTTTTACACAGCCTTATAATTATTAGTTAACGTGTCTACCTCCCAATGAAACTGTGAGCTCCTTGAAGGAAGTCAAAGCTGCACCCTAATCTTTGAATTCCCAGCACCTAGCATGGTGCCTGGACATCATGGGGTCTAACAAATGCCAGCTGGAGTTTATGTTGCTGGGTGAGCCCACGGCATCCCTCCCTATTCATTAAGTACATCAAATATAGTCCTTTGCTGTGCATCTGTGAAGTGATTTTCCGTAAAAATCAAGAAACATTAGGAAGAAGAATGAATTGTTTGATACAAACCAAAGACGAAACATCATGTGATAGTATGGAATATCCCATTTTTATGAAATGGCCAATCAGAAATATATAAATTCCAAACATTAATTTTGAAGTCTTCTGCCATTACCACAAAACTTCCTTAAAGGCCATAAATAAGGTCGACCCTTAGAAACAAGAAGGCACACACAAGGTAAGACCCATGAAATCTTATAATGCTCTGCAAATGTTCATCAATGACCAAAATAAATTATACTGGATAGGCTTACCGAGCTCATCAATCACAGAAAAGAAGCTCCAAACAAGAAAGGAAGACCACTATGCCTCAACATCCTTCTTTTCCAAGGCGCTAATCACCTTCACATCATGGGAAGGTCTACCATGTCTTTCATTTTACATACGGAGGAGCTGAATTAAACAAAATGGTCAAATAATGACTTCTTCTTTTTGCAAACTGTCCTCTCAGGACCAATGGAAGTTACATTGTTGGTACTTCAGAGTGTAGCTATGAGGCAGTTATGGTTTTAGTCATTTTCTTCCTTTACCTCAGTGGTTTTGTGTCCCTGCTGGATGGCCAGGCACAGCATCACTGGCACCACTCAGCTCCCAACACAGGTAACCTCTTAGAGCCAAACTTGTGGAAACACTCAGAAACATAAGAAGTGTTTTCTTTGTAAAAAAAAATGGGAAACAATTTGCAACATTTCTCAGGAAGTGCCCACAAACAGGCTACTAGGAGAG